AGTAGTACCTTTATGAGTAGAACATTGCAAAACTTTCAAAATGGGCTAAGGGCTTATCGCTTTTTAGTTAATGAATATTGTGCCATCAACCCCCACCCCCAAATGTGCTTTTTCAACTCTGTTGGGGAATTATTTTAGTCCCATTTATGGTCATCTCTGTTGTCATTGCACATCATCTCTTAAGCGTCACAGCAGTACATGCAAATATGTTTCCTTTTGGACCAAATATGTTTTCTAAGACAAGGTTGATCCTGTGGTGCTAGTTTTACCTGGGTTGCAATGACTTCACCATTCTCATTTGCAACAAGGAGGAGGAAACTGCCTTTCTCCTGCGCAAGAGGCAATTACCTGTGACAAAAGAGATTCTATTTTATTCTTACATTCTGTAGCCAGTATTGTTTAGGCAAAAGTGTGAGAATGCATAGGGTAGAAGGTTGCATAAAACCAATGTATTGCTGATCGGTTTGCATTGAATCCATACTTGAAGAAATTTAGGTAATGAGGAATTTTTTTTCCAGATTCTTTATGTTTGAACTATTTTAAATGTTTTTCTTGTGCAGTGGCAATGGGAGGTATGCGAACTCCAGCATATACATCATTCAGGGGAATATAATAACATAAAACCGTATATCTGATTGAACAACACACAAATTACCTTGGCACAAAAGACCAAGAGGAACATTCCAACAGCTTACCTATGTAGAGCACACAGCTTCATCCCCTAAGCAGAATGCTAAAATCTTGGATCATATTTGCTCAGGCATAAATAATGTTCTGACAACTAAATGAGACTCTTGTGTCAAACATAAATATGCATATATACAGATAAATCCATATCATATATTGAGTGGTATGTGTAGTATATGTACAAAGCAAAAGAGAATGCCCTTTTGCATTAAGAGGCACAACACAATAAGAACATCTACCTGGGTCTGGGGTTCCTTCTTTGGTGTTTCATGACTGTATACTGTAGTTCAGAATCTTGCTATATGCTTGTCTAGTAACATAGCTGTGATGCAGATATGAGTGTATGGATGTCCCATTGCCTCACTATTGCTGCTGGTGTAAAATGTGGCTACATTCTTCCTTCACTGTCCTTTCTGCTTCCAGCCATCCAAATGCCAGATGTTGCTTCTTCTTATCCTTCTATGTTCAAGAAGCTGAACAGACTGCACTGCAGAGGAACCAGCCATGAGGCTGCCCCAGATCTTTTGATGGCACATGTGTAATTGGACTGGACATCTTGTCATCCCACATCTCCCAAAGGCAGTGTGCTCTTGTCACCCTCATTGTAAACCTGACCTGGCTGCTATAACAAGCACCATAGGAAGGGCACCAGCCCCCTCCTCTCTGCCACACGTTCAGGGTATTCTGCTTGACATAAGACTCATGCTTTAACCCAGCTGGGATTTACAGTCTCTTCAAGTAGATTAAAATTAACATGAGTCCAAATTTTGTTTTCTCTAAACATGCGGCTGGGCATGCAGTTGGCTGGGTCTGAATTAGGATAGAGGACCTAGAAAGTGGAGGTGGTGCCAGATCCAAGGTGGCACAGTGCCCAGAGCCACAGCTAGAAAGCTCCCTGCTGGCTCTCACTAGTGCTGCCCCTGGCCAGTGCCTTGAAGAGGGAGGGATGTTTCCCTGAGTCAGCAAAAGGGATCTTTCAGAGGCAAAGGGGAAGGCAGTGATAGTAGCCAGGTTTAAAAGCTATGTAGATGGGATTTATTCCTTTGACTGTGGTCAGGTCTTCTCACCAGCTGTTTTCTTGCCTAGTGTGTCAATCCTTTAGCCAAATTTCTTCAGCTTGTACCTCCAGATGTGCTGGAACAACAACTCCAGAATTCCAAACCAGCATGACTGGAAATTCCGAGTGTTGTAATCCCAATATTTCTGGAAGCAGTAGGTTGAACAACCCTGCCTGGGAACTCTGGGAAAAAGTAAATCACAGTTGATGGTAGGTGGGGCACATTCATGGCTTTCAAGCAATGCTTTTGTTACTGAGTGGCTTCTATTGCCAAGCTCTGGAAAATTCATCTTTTTTTGCTAACAAATCCAGGGCTGTTTCATCTGTATCTTAAATGCCTTTCATACTGCAACTTCATAAATGCAACATGCATATGATATAGATATGTTCATGAAGGAGTTAATGTCAACTTTAGCTTTCCATAAAGTGTGTTCTTTCTGGTTTGTGCAGAATTTGTGAAGTGATTCTTGGTCCTATAACAGCATTTGTTCAGTCTTAATGAAATTCTGAAGCTACTGGCACAAGTGAGGAGTCTATTCTAAACTCTGTTTCTCAGCCCCCAAGTTCCTTGCATTGTCTTTGTGTATATTACTTTGCTTAGTGTCTTAATTGTAGCTTAAGGATATTTTGCTTGTGAAGATAGAGGGAAGTCTTAAAAGAGAGAAAGAGAGAGATGATGGAAATGGAAATGGTCTTTTATGAGTTTCCTAACTCAGTGAGATGTTCGGAACTGTCAACTGATAGATCAAAAAGATAGATATGAGATTGAAGGAAGCCCTGAGAACATAATTTAATTGGCTTAATATGGTTGGAGTACTAAAGTTCAGTGGAACTGTGGTAATGGTTATTGGTATTGTAATCAGTCAAGCTTCAAACACTTTTGCCACTCCCAAAATTGGCAAGCTGATGAACATTAGGATTTGTGGTGAAAATCCAAAGAAATGGAATGATTAAATTTTCAGTCATTTTAGTATATCTAAAGTTGTAAAAGTATTTTAAAGAAAAAAAGTAGACCCATCTACTTGCCTGATTACCCACCATTGCAGCCTCCAGCCACCAAAAAGAGCAGGGGAAAAGGGTACATTTTCCCAGCCATCAATAACATTGCTACTCCTAGTGTAAATACCAAGGTTAGTCTGCTGTGTGTACAAGTAATATATAACTTAGATTAAGGTAAGATTCCTAGGTCAGTAGCAAGCATTCAGAAATTAAAGCAACAAATCTTTTATTATTCTAGAATCTAGACTATGATAATCTGGAGTCAAGAACATCTGACACCTAAGAGTGAGATTGAGAGTATTTGTGTCTCAGCATACTCTCAGCATACAGTTTTGAAAAAGATCTTGAAGTGGCTTCACCCTCAACCACTTGGTCTGCCACTACCAGTATTTCAGTGTACAACTTTTGCACTGTGCACTATGGCGATGCAGGCATGGTGCCTTCTGAAACTGGCACTGTAATGGCCGATCCCCTCCCTGATTTTTTGACTTCCGTACTCCTTAACGCTGATCGTCCAGATCCATTTGAGAAACTCCATGCCCTTCTCTTAATTTTCTACCACTTCCACCTCCACCCCTTTCCCGCTGGGACACAGCCACCTTGGCATTCCGCCCTGGCATCGGTTAGCGTTTCCTGTCCAGAAGGGACTTATCCTTCCATCTTCACCCGCAGGAACGTGCATCCTTTCCTTGCCAGGCGATTTCAGGGCTGGAAGATGGGCGAACGAGCTCCTCGGCCGTATTTGGAGTTGACATCAGGCCTTGCCGCCTAGGGAAGCTCGCGGTGACAGGCAAAACCCACCGAGGGAGAAGGGATTTCGAACTGCGGTCTCGGGAGCGACAGCGCGGCGGCGGCAGGGACACATTTCCCGCCGTAAGCGCCGGTTTCTCCCCATGGGCCGGCGAAAACCCCGCCGATCCCCTAAATGGAGGATCGGTCGCTCGGAGTACCTCTCCCCAGAAGGAAGCAGCCGTCCACGGCCTTTGCGCGCCGGAGCCTTCAGTAGCCAAGCTTGGGATCTTCCCAAAGACCGCGGCCTGGGGAGCGGCCGGCCAAGCGGAGCGCTCTGGACTCGTCTGGCCAACGCCTGGCCTCTGAAGAAGCTCCCTCCGACGATCGCTTTGCGGCCTGGACCGACAGTCGCCTTCGGAGCAAGGCGGGCGTCGCCTTTCCAGAACTTTGAGCCAGCCGGGATAACCCTGGCTGCGCCCTCCCGCTCGCCTCCGCGCAACACCTGCTGCCGTGGTTGGCGAGTCTGCATTTCCTGCCGGCGCCCTCCTCCTCCGCCTCGGCACTGCCCGGCTCTCCCACCCCGCCCCACGGGCGTCCTCTAGTGCATCACGCGGGCCGGAGCGCTCCGAGCTCTGGTCCCGCGCCAACTGCAGCTGCTGGTGGGTTTCCCCAGCCTGGATTCCACTTGTCAGGCAGGTCGGGTGGGAGGAACTCAAATCCGTTTGGAAAAGCAATTAAAGTGCCTCCGAAGCCAAGGGAGGGAAGGGGAATCGACGATGCAGGGAAGGGGGTTGCGCTGCAACCTGGGTCTGGCCAGTGCCGCGGTCCCGGCTGCGCGGCATTCGTTCGCCTCGGAAAGCGCTCGCCGCCTTCTCCTCGCCCGCCCGCTCGCCCGTGCCCTAATCCCCGGCAGCTGCGCTCCCTCCCGCCGATCAATAAGCCTTTCACTTTTTGCCTCTTGTTTGTTCCGTGGGGAGCGGGATCAATAGGAGGAGGGGGCGTCTCCTCCAAGCTTCCGCTGCTTCTCCTCCTTCCGCCGCTCCTTCTCCAATTAAGACAGTTCTCCAGCCTGCGGGTGGGGTGCGAGGGGGGTGTCGTGTGTCCATTGGACCCGGTACCAACCGACGACACGCGGAGAGCTCCTTCCTGATCCTCTCCGTCCCTCTCAACTTTTCCTCTCTTCTTCCTCGGCGTTGGCAAGGAGGCATTGGAAGAAGGTCCGCGGAGATGGAAGGTAGGAGGAATTAACCGGGCAGCTGCTTTGGGCACCTGAAGGGACTCCCCGGAGGAAGCGGGTGTCAGGCACGGAATGAGAGCCAGGGAGTCTGTCTGAGGAGCTCCCGCAGCCGACGGCAGCAGCAGCAACAGCGGCGGAGACAGCCTGGATCTCTGGTTCCTTTGCTCCTTTCTTTGGCATAGACTTTGCCAGCTTGCGAGTGATTCAAACAAGTGGCTCTAGCATCACTTTGGAGTGGTGGCTCTGGCATTCCAAGCTCTGGATTTCTTCCTCTAGCCCCCCCCCCCCCCGCTTTTAAAAAAAAGAAATATGAGGATGAAATAATGTTGACATGCCTTGAATTATTAAGTATCCCCTGGATTTTATTAGCACATGATGCCTAAATGCTGCCTGTATCTGGTGGGGTCTTAACCGGGAGTGCAGAGGAGCGGCACACACAGCGGCACAGGGAGCGGCCGGCAGCTCTGACAGCTGGGCTTGTGCAGATAAGCAAAGGAAGCACCAGAAGATTACTAGTGAGACAAGAGGAAAGCTGCGTTCAGAAGCTTCTGAGAGCCTGGGGCCCCGATTCCCCAGTCCTCCTCCTCCTCCTCCCTGTTTGGGTTTACTAATTTAGGGGCGTCCTGCAGCAGCCAGGGGTAAGCGGCCGGTGCGGGGCACCTCAGGCTTCCACTGCCTCCCCTCACTGGGGAGGTAGTGTGCTGCCTGGTGCCTCGGCACAGATGCCGATTGAGATTGTCTGCAAAATCAAATTTGCAGAGGAGGATGAGAAGCAGGCGGCGAAAGAGGAAGGGGACAAGGAGAGCTTGCTAGAGGAGCCTAGCCGGCCACACCATCGTGATCTGGCCGCCTTTGCTGGCACCAGCACCCTGCACGGCCTGGCTCATATTTGCCGCTCAGGGCAACTGGGGGTCCGGCAGGCCCTCTGGGCACTTGCATTTGTGGCCTCTTTGGCCTTTTTCTTGTATCAGGCAGCTCGGTCTGCACTCTTCTACCTGGAGCATCCACATGTCACTACCATGGGTGAGGAAGCTACCCAAAAGATGGTCTTCCCAGCCGTCACCATTTGCAACATCAACCGTTTCCGTCATTCGGCACTTACAGACGCCGATATCTTTCACCTAGCCAACATGACTGGATTGCCACCCAAGGACCGTGATGGACACAAGGCCTCTGACCTGCTCTACCCTGACCCAGACATGGCTGACATTGTCAACCGCACTGGGCATCAACTTGATGACATGCTGAAGAACTGCAGCTTTAGTGGTGAGAATTGCTCTGCAGAAAACTTCACAGTGGTGAGTATCTGTTCTGACTTCCCCGTGTTCTTCTCTTGCTTTTTGGGGAACTAATGTCTTATCAGTGCCCAAGTTTACGTCAAGGCTGAGGTTGCATCTTAAGTATCAGTCTGAAAAAGAAGAGTAGATGTGGTACAAGTGCTACCCGAACACCTGGGAACTTGGGACACTGGATGAAATATGCAGGAGGTAATATACGAAAGGAAAAAAGGATGACCCAGGAATAAGCAGGCTGGACATTATAGGAACATCCTGGATAACTCCTACTTTGTTTGAATAGATAGCCACTGAGAATGAGGAATGGGGCAGGAAGCAAGAGCTGATAATAATGCAAGTTACAAGGGAAGACCATAAGGTCTCAGATATTTAAAGATAGGAGATGCCCAGATAGGTACTGAATACGCTTAGGGACTCCTGCATTTTTCCAGGGGTCTGCTCCTTAAGTGCTTTTCCCAGTTTCAAACAAACTGTACTCCCAGTTCAGTGCCCATTGTAGCAGTGGCATTGTCCAGGCCAAAGTGGTATGGCAGTCACTCTGCCATCTTCTCTCTTGGCACGTTCTGGCATGGTATTGACTGCATTATCTGAGAAGCTTCCTACTGGGTGGAATGAGCCAGCCCCATGCTTGCTTGATATTGGGTCTGAAAAGCACAAATCCCTGCTGTGGTTTGGGGAAATAAATGTGCTGAGCGGGCGGAATACCTGATGGGACCCTTTTCAGACCATAATGACTCTGGAAATGAGCTGCTTCTCTCCTGCAGACACGGGAGGCTGCTTCGCCTTCTGATCACTGTGTGCGTGTTGTGCGGTGTGTGTGTGTGTGTGTAAAAGGAGGAGTGTGCCAAACAACAAGAAATATAAATGGAGAGATGGGGAGAAAATGACCCATGCATATACATAATAAGCACACATGCTAGGTGGGTCAAAGATCAGTTTCTAGGCTTCTGCTTGCTGTTGTCATCGGTCTCAAAGTCTTTGCTGTGAAAGTGCTTGTCAGATTTGGCAGAGGAATACAAGCCAGGAACCGGCTAAAGATAGATGACAACTTTGGCCCAGAGTTATCAATGGTTGTTTAAAGTGCTTGGTTGCATGAGCCCCATGTAAACTGTGCCGGAACCCCTGGTTGGAATGGGGGAAAGAACCAGCAATATGAATTCTGCTCTGTAGATGCACCAGCCTGCCATAAAAATACTGAGATGAAATTGCACAAACTGCATGGTAGTCAGATTAAGCTCTGCCCGCTCAGACCACTAACCATCCCAGTTCCTCAGGCTTCACATTTGAATCTGGATCTTCTGATTATTTACTTGAAATGGTTGTTATTCTTGAAATGCAACCATAGAGTCTGCCAATTTCTTCAGCAGTTGAGAGAGGAGGACCGAGAGGGTGTTTAACACGCCCTCAGTCTAGAACTGCCCTTCAATCCAGATGTTGTTGGCCCCACAAAGGAAATTCTGAGGCGTGCATTTCCCCTCTGTGGGGCTAACAGTCGATCAGGAAAGAGTTTATTCTTTTTTTTTCTTTCCTTGATGCAATGAATTAAGTCTCCATTCCTTTCCCAAGCGCCGGTCCAGAGAAATTGGCAGTTCCTAAGGCTGCATTTCATTAAAACACCATCAATCAATGAAACAAACAACCATCACTATTATTAGGAAATCTAGTCATGGTTCTCCTTAAATAAGGTGTCCTTTGGCCCTGAGATTTAAATGTCTGATTCAGAACTAATGTCTGTTCTTATGCAGCAGATGACTTAGGCAGTTCTGGGGGCACTGCATGTTGTGGGAAGCTGTTGAGAGAAGGAAATGTCCCACCCCTGGAATCTGTGCCAAAGACATGGCATTAATGAGTGGCTTTAGGAGGATAGGTGGGAGGATATGGGGACGAGAGATTCCCTTTACTTTTTTGGCCATTCTAGCTGTAGTATTAATTTTCGCTCTTGGTTATTTTGGAGGGGGGGAGCTATGAATAGAAATAACAGGCGTAAGGCATAGGGAAGATGAGTATGTACCTAGTAGCAAGGTACCGAAAGGTCACTGAAAGGGTCCAGCTTCCCTTTGGAAGAAGTGCAGCTGCTGCTTCTGCTACTTACCGTGGCTGTGACCACTTTGCTGCTAAGCTGACTGCTGCGCCAGTCTTTGCCTCTCCTGATGAATTCTTTTTAAAGAACCTGTAAGTAAGAGCTGTGCTTGGTAAATGATCTCCCTCTATTTAGCGTCACAAATTCACATTCTTTATGGGATGGCAAATTAAAGAGCCGCTGGGAAGATTCCCCAGCGTAAGCATCTTGTGTGCAGTAAAGCCCAGCCTGTGTAGTAAATCTTAGCAGGCTTTGCCCGCTCCTGAGCCACGCTAGCCGCCTGCTCTGTTAGATGCATGGGGAATGAATGGGCTACGGAAGGGAGACCTCACCACTTACCCTGCACCGCCCCTTTCCTGGCGATGTTGTGAATGCATCTGTGCGTGAACTCAGTGGCTTAGACTCCTCAAAGCGTGCTAAGCAGGGTCCTTCCCCCCCCCCCACACACACACTGCTGTTTGGTCTGTGCCGGGAGGGGGGGGAATTCAATTGCTTCTTTGTATTCTACTGGATAGGAGATTCCCTGGCAGCCATGCATTAGCTGAGGGAAGTATTCTGCTTTGGTCTCATCCGGTCCCAGTCCCTTTGCAGCAGCAAGGATCACAGGCGTCAGAAGACAAACATTTCGTTTAGCCATTAACTCCTTCAGGATCGGTTTGCAACACTTTCCAGCCAGCTGTTTTGGTTGTTACTATGTGTATGTTTTCTAACCTTGATTTCTTGCCCTGGAAGCATCTGTATTATGAGTGGATCTGAACTTCACATTACTCTTTTTTTTTAAATAGATGTATCCCCCCTCACACACACACACACACACACACACACACACACACACACACACACACTCAGTGACCATCGTATATACAGGACAAGCAGTCGGCTTCTCGTTGAGGGTAGACTGCATTTTTTCCTCGATGGAACACTGGAGTCCAAAGCGTCTCACAGATAAAAGGTGGAGAGGCTATCGAGGCAGATCACAAGGAAGTGATAAAGGGGGAAGTGCAAATGAAGTTTTATGGAGACGTGTTGGAGGAAATAAGCTCAGCCACACCAAGTGTGCACACTCAAAAGAACAATTACCCAGCTGGCATCAGCTCTGCAGGGATTCCACTTCCAGCACTTGGAGGGGAAGCTAATGTATTTCTAAAAAAATTGGAGTCAATGTCAAAGGTTCTTTGGCAAGGGCAATTGTTTTCTTTTTAGATTTCATGCCGCTGGTCTTACCCCCTTCCCTGGAAGAGGTTGTGAGGTAGATCGCCACTTTCCCCTTCACATCCTGTTTCTTTGACCTTGGTATTTGAAGGCCATGAGAGGGAAGAAAGAAAAGTATCTGGAATATGCAGACATCTAGTCATAATGGGGGTGGGATTTGTGAGGAATACGCTGGAGCTATTTAATTCCGCAAGACAGGCTTGCATGGTGTCCAAAAGGTTGGGTGAGAACAAGATTTGAAAAGCAAGGAGGGCTGCAATTTTGGCAGCGGGAAGCCACCAGCTAAAGGGTTGTGCTCTCCAGAATGTCAAAAGAAGTTGATGGTGATGCAGTAGGTCTCTTTGCTTGGGTTTCCTTAAGCAACGTCATGATTGGGGCTTGAAGACTGAGAAGGTGGATCGGTCAAAGAGGGTGTAGGCAGATATTAATACTGAAGTATCTCATGTGGAACAGCAAGAGTCACTGCTGGTGCATTTTAGGCTTGAAGCAACCCCTCCCAAAAAACAAACCAACAGCAGCAATACCCAAACACACATAAATTTCTGTTTCCCTCCCTGCCCTCCCCCCCCACTCCCCAGCTGCTGTTGTTCAGCCTGGCTTTGCTGCCTCATTCCCCAGCTGTATAATCAGCGGCACCCCATCTTGATGCTGGGGCTGGCTATGACCTTTCTTCCACAATTGTACTTAATAAATGTCACATTTTCCAGCCTATTTTTACTCTGGGTAAATGAGTTTCCTGTTCTGCCTCCCCCTCCATCTGCTGTCTCCTGCTTGCCCATTTGTGCAGCTCCTTGGCCACCACTATTTGAAGGCAGCACCGCAATCCATTTTCCCTAACACAGCCTGCATAATGGAAGGAAAAGTGAGAAAAGGAGCCCATGGGCAGCCCAGCCGGTGATGGATAGTTAGGAGGAATGAGCAGATTGATTCCTTCCAGCCGGAGAAGGACACCAATTGCCTGGAGGAAATCACCCTCAAAGAATCTTAGATCGGGCAGATCAGGCATCTTCAGTTTCATGTGGCCTGTGGCCTGGGTTTTTCTAGCAAAGTGGTTTCAAAGGAACCTGTTGCTCTCCTGTCATATTTGGGAGGAAAGAAAATGGAAGTGGGAACAGTCTGCTAACCCATCTCTCTTGCATGAATCCTTTGTCCTCTTCACCATTCTGCAATCTCTTTCGTTTAATATAACCACAGATTTTTGTCCAGGGATTTGATTGTTTCAAGAGTTTTCATCAATAAATTCTGCATTGCCCCATTTGCTTCATTGCCTCCTCTGTCTAGATTTGTGAAGGAAAGTATTTTTGTTAACCTACATCAGCAAAATCTCATATTGATGTCAGTTGCCCTTATCTCTCTGCATCCCATCATGAAGGGCTGCTTTTCCATTTCATATTTATTTCTTCATTTTCAGAATTCAGGGCAACATAATATGTTTTTCTCTCCCCTGCATCCCACATCCTCCCCTGTATCCCGTCACCTAATTATCCACTGAGGTACATTAGTCCTGTAAATATTTAAGTATTTTAGTTAAAAAAAATTATATACCACTTTCTGTTAAAAATCTAGAAGTGGTTTAGAAGAACCAAAGCATCTGATTAATCCAAGTTCATGTCTCAGTCCTGGGTTCATATTCCAGAAGATGAGTACTGCAAAAGATGATAGCAAAAATGGCAAGATGCAGCATGTCACTTTATAGGAGTACTATATTTTA